TCCACTTAGGATGATTAGAGGAAATAATCAGTTAGAGAAGGAAGTAGCTTGGGGCTCCTTGAAGATTTTTCTGTTCCTCCAGCCTTCTCATTCAAAGAGATAATAGAGCTAGATAGCTAGACGAGTCTTTGGCCAAACCACAATTATATGCAAGGAAGAAGTGGGTAGCTTGACTCTCCTATCAAAAATCACTGTAGTGCTCTTTTTTCTCTCCAGACTCCATTAACTTGGCATATCTTCAAGTGGCTGGGGAAGCCTTCTCATTTACATAGGTACTGTGAAAGGTTGTCTTCAGAATTAATACAGACTTTAATTTGGATATTGCCCTTACACCTGCTGTTATCATTGCAAAAAGCTTCTCATCGAGTGTGGCTGATCTCGGGTGACATGGCTATTTCTGATGTTTGGGCTGGCAACATAAAGAATCGTTCTGGAGATAAACTCTGAACCAAATACACAGGGTGAGAACAACCTAGCTGTCTGCACACTCAGCACATGGCACTTCAGGTGAAATGCGTGGTGTGACAGATCTCCCATTCTTTTGCCAGAATTCCCCTCTCTCCAGTAAATAAAGTCCTCTCAATAGTTCTCCAAGGAAGAACAGCAGTGGCTGAACTTACTGTACTACAAAAGTCATACAAGGCATGCTTAGAAGTCTTAGTGCCTCTTTCCAGTCGAGCCTGTTGATCCAGCTGAGTTGATAAAGTAAAGCAGGCTCTCGTTTCTGGGTGCCAAATGCTCAGTTGGGAAAGAAATTTTCCAGAGAACAATAATCTTTGGAATATTGTTTTCCAAAGAAAAACAGCATGCTAGTTTTTGTTTTTGTTATGAAATCCTGTCTTTGGAAGTGCATAAATTACAGCCTCAGGCCTCCTCTCATATGAAATACAACTTTGGATTCCTGTTTGTTGGTGTCAGAATACCTCGTCTGAATTCTAGAAGAGAGCTTATCAGCTCTTACTTCACTATACCATGAAACACACAATAGAAAATAAAACAGGCAGAGAAGGATGCACTTTGTGCAGCCCAGTTTCCTGGGTTTGGAATATGATAAAAAATGTCTGCAATTTGCCTTTCAATAAACTGAAAGGAACTAGAGGTGTTTTGAGATTGTGTAGTTCTCCATGTATACTTTTAAGAATAATAATTTAATTCCATGCTCTTAACCAACAATAATTCATAGTTTGTTTATTGCAAGTAGAAATTCCGGGAAAGTTAACATTTAAAATTACCTAATTAAAAAAAAAAAAAAAAAAGTCTGACTCATTTTAAGATGAAAATATGCTGCAAGACTTAACTTTGTACAACAAAGCGTGTTGGATTTTAGAGATGAGTTTTTTACAATTCCTGTGTTTACAACTGCATTTGGCTGCATGGATATTGTCCATGAACATGTCAAGAACAAAGAGTAGGAAAGTAGTCGAATTTGCAATTAAAGGCGGGTGAAGTGACAATTGGGACAGCTGACTGTCACCTAGTTTTTTTGCTCCTGGCTCCTGAAAAGTAGTATGATTAAAATCAGAAAATAATCTAAATGGTTGTCCCCCCAGCTGTAGAAAAACCGTGATCTTAGTGATACTGCTGTTTGTTTTCTTACCAAAATACATTGTTTCACTATAGCACATAATGAAGATGGCCCATCAAGGTGCACTGCAGGGCTAAGCACGCGGAATTTTACTCTTGAACTCTTGAACTGTCAGTAGAAAATTTAGGATTCTTTCCAATGAAGTTACAGTGGTGAGTGTGGGAATATGTCCTACTATTAGTTCCCATAAATTATGGATTTAAATTAGAGACATTCTGAAGCACCATACAGTAATAAACCCCAAACTTAATATCTGACAGCATGGTAAACTTTACAAAATAATTGTGCAAATACTCAAAACATTTGCAGTTGGTTTTGGAAGTATCATATGAGTAATAAATATTTAACAAATCGTTAAATCGTAATTAAGGTATCAGTGTCAAAATCAGAAACAGAACTTAAAAAATCTGTGATTCTCAACATTTCTATGTATCCCAGGGCTGTATAGTTTTAACTGTATTGTTCTAAAAGAAATCATATATTGAAACTCTGATTCTAATAAGACTCCAAGTCTTCAACAGAGACCTAATTAATTTTTTTCTGGCGTTAGGAACAGTGTTAGCCAGTGTTGTGCAATGTTCTTGAATTCCAACATTACACTCATAAATCAATTTTCATACTCTGTGTTTCATTTTAGCTTGATCTATAAAAAAACCTCCAAACTGTTCTTCAGTGATGGTGCCCAGAACATCATTAATCGTCATCCTTTGTAAGTGGCAACCACTTTGAAGGTAATTTAGTACACGGTGCTTTTTTCCTAGTGTTTCAAGGCAGGTGTTCCAACTGACGTAGTTTCTTATGCTTATTTAATAAGGTTTCCTTTGCCACCTCTTGTCTGATACTTCTGCTGTCTCCTTATGCATGCTAGTATTTGATGCTGAGAAATTACATGCGCATTCCTTCAATGCTGAAGGCAACTACTCTATTGTTATCAAGGTGATAAGGCAATACGAATTCCTTTGAGAGGCCAAAATGGTAACCAGTAATCAGTCCTAACATTATATGTAGGCTTCTGAGCTAATCCAGTTCAGCGCTAGGGATGCCGAACAAAAAACAAATGAAAGAGCCATCGACTTGTGGTTTCATAAAGCAGGTTAGTACAGAGCTGGAATTTGACCCAAGATCATTTGACTTTCATACTGTGATGTTGTAAATTGATGACTATCTATAAGGAAACATTTCAAAGTACTTTATGAACTGCATAAGACAAACTTCAAAAGTCTGAAACTAAGTGCTGCTAGTGATATCCATGGAAAATTTTAGCATTTTGCTGTTGGACAGAGAGGTGGGACTGATTTTGTCTTTAATGTAGATTTTCTAGGAAGCGGACAGGTTGTAGCAAGCATGCAAGTCCCTTGGCATTCCTATGTATAGGTTCATTTACTTGCTATATGAAATGAAATTGCAGGCTCTTGACTTTGAATTTCAGCTCAAACTGTGGAAAACAAGAAGCCTGGGGAAAGAGAGGCAGAAAGGAGGAAGGAATGTGCAGTAGGATTTGATAATTTGCTAGAAATCAGTAGCTTTTGTACCATGTGGGAGTGAAATACTAGGTATTGGTTTTTTACTGTGCAGTTTTCTTTACTTCCCCCCTCCCCTCCCATTCCTGAAGGACAGAGGAATAGTATTGCATTTTGAGTAGCTGGGCTTAAGTAGTTCTCAGTTCAAAGAAATTTGCTTTTCATTGTACTTCAGCATTGGTTACTGTAAACACATTAAAACTATAAGCTAAGAAGTTCATTGACTTACTGTGCAATTAAGGTAAATGTCTGTGCTTCCTAGTGCAATATGAACAACAAAAATAATTACACTTACAGGTTTCTTTATGCACTTAGAGGACTGACTCTTATGCCACTGATTTCAAGGTAAGTGGTACTTCTCACTTTTTGTGGCCACATCTCTCTTAGTCCTCTTTCTGACATCAAATTATGCTGAAGAATAAGCAACTAAGCCATTGAAGAGCAGTTATTGTATTCCTGGTTGTATTAGAATG